TTGGGGCCAAACATATGAGCTCGTTATTCTTTGCACAACTTACCTGGATAATTGTTGTCATTCTTCACATTTAGGCTAGGTATGTCACAAAATGATACATGACATATCATTTGGTCCAAGATATTTCCTGGCCTGTTTCATTGTCTGTCGTGTTGACAAATAGAACACAACAGGGAAAAAAAGGTATTTGGCACCAAAGAATATAGTCAAATTAGAAATATCTGTCACCAAGTCTCGATAATGCCTATCTCCCAGTCTGTTTCTGGGTCTCAATAATGTTTGTCTGAGGCATCTCAGCAATTCCTGTCTCTAGGTCTCAAGGTGCAAAAACACAAATAACAGAATCATTGCCCTGGATACTAGGGAAGGAGGGCCTCTCACATTAATGTTCAATTCCTTTAAAGAGTGAGCTGTTTCAATGTTCCACAAGTTGTTTTCAAAGAAAAAAGAAACTTTTCTCCAAAATTTTCTGCTGCATGGCACAAACTTCAATTATTCAAGAAAAGCACCACTTTTAGAGAGAATTGAACAAAATAATCATCTTCTCCTTTTTGATAGAAAAACTACTGTAGTACCAGTCAAGGATTTCTTCACTGCCCTTTCAAAGACTCTCTCTCTGGATAGTTTTCCTGCTCATCAGCCTCATCTCTCTCTGATATCACTTTCAGGAACAGGTAAATATGTATTCAGAACAAGGGTTGACCTGAATATTGAAGCTTGAGCTACCAGGACGATCTTCTTTGCCTGCCAAAGTTGCTCCTGATACCAGCCATTCAAACTTCAGGGAGATTAAAGATCTCAGAGCAGGTTTATTATGTTTCTTGCATAAATTGTGTCTTCCTGGATAGAGGTGGGGTTGGGAGGGATGGACAGCACTGAGTTTCTAATGGTTACACCCAGATCATCACTGTCCTTATCAAACTGTATACTCTCTTCCAGCATCCAACCTTCACCTCTTCTTCAGATTCCTCCTTACCTCTCCCTTTTCTATGAGGGTTTCCTGGATTGACCTTAGAAGAGCTAATGTCTCTGGGTCTCTATAGCTAGTTTTTCATTCCTCACTTATGCTGAGACACTCTCAGTTTTACTTTTGTAACTATTAACATCTTAGGTTGTGAGGGGACATGAACTTGGAGGATTTTATTTTATATTGTCCACCACACTGCTTTTCATGTTAATGAATGACTTTTGGTGATTATAATAATATTAATACTGAGACAAATTCTGATTAAGGAAATATCAAGGGAAAGGGTTATAGGGGATATGGTTAATTAGATTTTCTGGGTAACCAGAGGTTAAGAACAAAGCTGTTTTCCGTTGTGTTTGCTTAAAAAATTCCATTAAGATATCTGAGTCCACTGTCCCTACTTAATAAATCAAGTATAATAATGCACTTGAATCACTCTTTACTGATTGAAGATCTTTCAGAGCCTCCGGCCATCATTTGGAGCAGTAATCCTGATTGGCCAGAACTATAAATGAAGATAGAAAAGAGAAAAAGGGTAGGACTGAAAGCATTCCAACCCCAAGATATTCCCTGAAAATTGTTTTCTTGACTGAACTCATTTTATTGTCATCTTTTTCATTCAAAAGCAAAATGAGACAAAACAGAATTTTTTGAAAAAAAAAAAAAACTCAAGATAATTGGACATTTTTGGTAGCTGGATTGTCATTAATGATGGTTTGGTGGGGACACACGTTGAAGGGAGCCTGACAGTGTGCATCAAATTGTGCTCTCCTGTGCTACGTGCAAAGAGGATGTTCCTGATATGCAGTTGCAAACCCTGGACTTGAGCAATTTCTACAGGGTGAATAAAAGTCACACTGACCTATTCACTCTCTTTCCTGGTCTCTTTCGAGACCAAGGGCAAGTATTTGAGAGATTTTTTGCTTGTTTTGTGGCCATAGTGAAAGCTGTGTCTCTCAGGGTCAGAACTCTGTCACCAGGTTACTGACCCATATGAGAATTGAAACTGTCATCCCAGAAATGGCTCAGAATCCACTAAATCCAACAAAATGGAAGGAAGAAAGAAAGAAAAATCCTCCAAATAAAATTATCCATTTGATCTTCCCATTTCAAGACAGCATCCATGTAATAATAATAATAATAATTATTATTATTATTATTATTAGTAGTAGTAGTAGTATTTTGGTACTGGGGATTGAACTTGGGCATTCAACCACTGAGCCACATTGCCAGCCCTGTTTTGTTTTTTACTATAATATAGACAGGATCTTACTGAGTTGCTTAGTGCCTCGTCAGTTACTGAAGCTGGCTTTGAACTCTTGATCCTCCTACCTCAGCCTACTGAGCCTCTGGAATTACAGGCATGAGCCACCATACCTAGCATCATCCATGTAATTATTTGAGTCATAAACCTGAGATTCAACCTTTATTTCTTCTCTTGCTTGATGCCTTTCTCTACCACAATTCATTTGTAATCCATGTCATTTTGTTAGAGTAAATGCTTTATTAAGTTATACATAAAAACAATGCACAAGGATATTTTGGCACTACTATGTACAAAGCTCTAAAATTTACCCATCTGACTGCATCCCAGCTTGAGCTTAGCCACCAACGCTTGCTTGGACGACTGTATTACTTTCCTCACAAGTTTTTCTACTTTGTTTTAAGTCTTTACAGTCCATTCTCCACAAATAAGTCTGGAGGATCATTTCAAAACCTAAATGAGATCATGCCTCCTAACACTTTTTCCCTCATATATTGTTGTCCTCCAGCCACAGTGGCTGTTTTGTTGTTGTTGTTGTTATTTGTTTGTTTGTTTAATTTTTTCTGGATATTGTTCTACTCAGGGCCTTTGCACATGCTGCCTATCTACCTGTAATAGAGATTCTTCTCAAGGCTGACTTCTCTGTATCCATCAGATCTCTGCATAAATATGACTTCCTCTTCAGAGAGATCCTTCATGACCATTTCACAAAAACCAGGTTACCTCACAATTTACATTATTATTTGTATTAAGACCCTATATTTCACCCTCATAGCATTTTCCATAATATCATTACAGTTATTTATAAAATCATCTGTTTAATATTTACTTATACCACTAGAATGTAAGCTCTGGAACGTTGATTCCTTGTCTATGGTTTTATCCTCAGTCCCTACCCAGTCCAATAATATAATATGTAGTATGTGTCCCAAAAATGGGATGAACAAGTGAATGAATAAATGAATGAAGCAAAGAGTCCTGAGCGGAAGCGTCTCTTTTGCATTTACATTACTCTATTCTCACTGTAATAAAAGAGAGGATGGGAGAATATTTGGAGAAAGTATGTGCTTTTGAATTTGGGAGCACCAAGGAGCATGCCTGAAAGCCAAAGGGGAAAATCATGTTTATTCCATACTAATTAATGAGACTTGGGATTGAATGATAAAAATCTAATGATGTTAATGTTGATTCTGAATGCTGGCTGGCAGTCTCGGAAGACAAGGTAAAATGGTAAGAGGACACTGCAGTTTAATCCCCCAATTAGGAAGTAGCTGTCACCCCCAGGGACAACGTTAGCTGCTGATTGATTTTCTTTATACACTGTAATCATAATCAGTACTACCTCTGGCAGCCTAAATGTCCTGGAACCTTCCACTAGAGGTGAATCTTCCTTTACACAAAGGTAGTAACAATCCAGATTGGTGCAAAGGGCAAATTACAGGGAAATTCCTTCATATTACAAAAGAATTCTTAATAAGATTCCTTTGACTAGCTAGTCCCCTGAATGCATTTAAACCAGGATTTCACTGACAAAAATATGGCTGAGGGCTGGGGATGTGGCTCAAGCAGTAGCGCGCTCACCTGGCATGCTGCGGCCCGGGTTCGATCCTCAGCACCACATACAAAGATGTTGTGTCCGCCGAAAACTAGAAAATAAATATTAAAAAATTCTCTCTCTCTCTCTCTCACTCTCTCTCTCTCTCTCTAATTCTCTCTTTAAAAAAATATGGCTGAACTGTAACTTTTTAGGGACACATTGTCATTACCCAAACCTAAGCAGCAAAGATGGTTTGCTTTATTCCCTGACCACAGACTGAGCCTTCAGCCTTGAACACTGACTGAATCAAGCCCCTACTTCTGACCTCACACTTACCCCTAATTTAGGCCACAGCACAGACTGATTTCTAATCCTGCTACAGCCCAGTTATTAAGACCAGGCATTTTACAAATACTCGTCTTTGAGCACTGCAGGGGGCATGTGGGGAAGGGGAAGCTGCATCCATGACTCACTGCTAACCCATCCCTGCTGCTGGAAAAAAAATAACTCTAAATGCACATCCTACTGCTTGTGAGTCAGGAATGTCATTTTCATTTATGAAGGATGGAACATTATTTTTCTCTAACATTTCAAGTGAATAACTTTACATACATTTTCCCCAATTTCCATAGGAATTTGATGCCATGGAAGCAATGTGCTACATGTCCCCAGAGTCTGGCAGGAAGAAACTCTTACTTTTCTTACAGGTACTTTAAGATCAATAATTCTGAATTCCCCTCCTCCTTCCAATTACAACCCTGATGACACCCACCTTGATTTGGGGGAGGTTGGAGAGAGAGAGTTGTCTGAATTCCAATGTTATTTTAGCATTTTGGACTCAGATTTCTATTGAGTCTTAAAAGCTGAGTTTCAGAAGTTCAGACAATATTAAGTTCAGAGACGCTTCTGCACCATGTCCCCATTAGGAAGTGTTTGCCTCCCACTGTGAGACTCCCAAAGGTAGATTCATCATTGGTTATGTCAAGGGAAGAGTGGAAAAGAACATAGGAGACGCACTCTCTGTTCATTCTCCAGGGCATGGTTTCTGATTCTTTTACAACTATTAGGTAAATACACCTAGTAGAACAAAATAGAAAATGCATTCCAGGAGGAAAGAGACAGGGCCTTTGAGTTCAGTATTAGAAGGTATTTGTTCCCTTCCAGAAGCACTGCTCTTTTTTTTCAATTGGCTAACATTTCTTTTTTTTTCTCAGATCTGGCACCTGAATCTCACAGATATGGGTAATCTGACCATGATCAAAGAATTTCTTCTTCTGGGATTTGGGAGTCTCCATGGGCTACAATTTTTCCTTTTTGCAATATTTCTGGGAATCTATGTTGTGACCTTGCTAGGGAACATTCTCATCCTTACAGTAATTTCCAGTGACTGCAGCCTCCAAACCCCCATGTACTTCTTTCTGTTTAATTTCTCCTTCCTTGAGATCTGGTATACTACCTCCATTGTCCCTAAGATGCTGCAGACCCTTCTTTCAGGCCCTGAGGTGATTTCTTTTGCAGGCTGTGTGGCCCAGTTTTACTTCTTTGGTTCCATGGCAGTAGTTGAGTGTTTTCTGCTGGCAGCTATGTCTTATGACCGCTATCTCGCTATCTGCAGCCCTCTCCGATACCCCTCCCTTATGAACCTCCACACATGTGTCCTCCTTGCAGGTGGGTCTTGGCTTGGAGGGTTCCTAACTCCTGTGGTCACTGTCACCATGACTTTCCAGCTGCCATTCTGTGCAGCCTATGAGATCGACCATTTCTTCTGTGACCTGGCTCCTGTGCTGAAGCTGGCTTGTTCTGATCCTGAGACAGTGGAAGAAACCACTTTCCTCATGGCCTCCTTTGTCACCATGGTACCCTTCTTGCTCACTGTAGCCTCCTATATCCACATTGTGGCTGCTGTCCTCAGGATCCCATCAGCTGCAGGAAAGCAACGGGCCTTCTCCACCTGTTCCTCCCACCTCATTGTGGTCACTCTGTACTATGGAACACTGGGAACAGTATATGCCATTCCCACAGCAACCCAGGCCACTGCCTTAAACAAGATCTTCTCTCTGCTTTATACAGTGGTCACCCCCATGATCAATCCCATTGTGTATAGCCTGAGAAACAAGGATGTTAAAAAGGCAATAAGGACACTCCTGAGTCGGTGGGCATACTCCAAGGAGACCTAATGGCTCTCATCATTCCTAGGGAGTCCATTTTCTCAGCAATCTGGGTTTCTCTAAAGGATGCCAGGCACAAGGCTGAGGAGTAGGTGGTTCCAACCATTGTTGTTCCCTTCTTTGAGGGAAATGGCCTGCAAGCAGGAACCTCTTATAGTCTAATACTCTTAGGATTTCCTGGTTAATACCTGAACAGCAAGATTAAGTTTACCAAGATGCATGTGACTCCATCAGTCTAAAACACTCTACAGAAATACTTTTTAGGGGGAAATTAAACAGAACCCCATTGCAGCAACAGCCTCATGCCATAAAGCCTCCTCCTACCTCTTTGTGTATGTGTGTGTGTGTGTGTTGTGTGCATATGTGTATACATAATAGAAGTATCTGTTGGTGCTGAGGTTTTTGGATTGCATTATATACTTGTGTCCATATGCATATTCCACACACACACACACACACACACACACACCTCTACGTATGCACTTAGTTGCAATACCCTATCTGTCCTACCTTATCTTTCATTACTTCCTTTTTAGCTTCTACCTAGAATTGTCCTTCACTGGGCCTGTCCCCAGGATTCATGCAAATTCTAGTGGCTGCACCTCACCTCCTGTTGTTCCTTAGATCATTGGCCTCTCCACTGATCAAAACCATCTCTAAAATCCTAGAGAGCTATTGACTATTCCACTCACTTGAATAGTTATTCAAGTCCCTTGAAAACTGGAGTAACATTGTCCCTAGTCCTCTTAATTCCCCCAGCATGGAGCTGCCTTTAGTGTAGATGCAAAACAATTACTTGTTGATTAAATGAATCAATGACTAATCAAAGCAATGGATGCATGGTGAATAAACGGAATGAAATAAGTCACTTTTTCTGCCTACACTGGTCTCTCCTCCCTAGCCCCCACCTCTTGGTCATAGACAGCAACTCTTCTCACCAAAGCCAGCTCCAACTGAACCAAACCAACCTTCCTCCTTGCTGTGCCCCCATCCACCCCTCCCACAGTAGACAGATGGATCTTTCTAGAATCCAAACCTAACCTTTCATTATTCCCCAGTGCCCCAAGGATAGAGTTAAAGCTTCTCAGCTTGGCCTCTGGCCATCTCTTCAGCTCACCCTCAACATTCGTCTTCTCCTGTTTTGTGCTCCAGCTATACCAAACTTCCCCAATAGACTTAGAAGCCCTTTAAAGGCCATATCTCCCCTACAGTATCTAGATCAAGAATGGTACAAAAAAGTAGTTGGTCAAATAAGATATCTTGAATTGAATTGTAAGGCAATCATCACCTACATTTCCTCTTTGTTTCCATCTCTTGGCTTCTGGCTTATGAATCCCTTTGGCTTGAGAAAAAAGGTAATCTTGATTGACTGTCAATAATGTATGTGTGTGTGTGTGTGTGTGTGTGTGTGTGTGTGTGTGGTTTCACCTCATTTCACCTGCCCATCCTCTCCAGCTAGAAGGAGATACCAGAAGCACAGATAGACATTCCCAAAACCTCCACTTACAAAATGAGTCAAAGAATGCCAAGCAGTTTGGGAAACACTTTCCCAGCTGGCTCTTCCTACTCCCTTCCCGACCACCTACAGAGCTCCCTGTTGTATAGGGTCTAATTGTCTCTAATCTAGTTTTAACTTCTTGTAATTACCCTCAATTATGAAATAGAGCCTGCAGAACACACTCCTTGTGGTTAAGACATGGATCTAGAGTAGAAGTGTAATTACTTTTTAGCCTCTCAGGGGTTCTGCCTAGCCTTCTGTGCAGATGCACGGTGGAAATGCCTCATCTGCTCCATCCATACATGTCTTGTTTTTGTTTTTGTTTTGAGTGCAGTTTTCTCAAATAGGTTGACTAATTTGTCTTCTGTGTCAGCCATTGGGACATTTTTAAAATACCTACTAGCCGATATCAGCTAAACCTATAAACCTTCAACAACTTCCTGTCGCCCTTAGGAAAAAGTCCAAATGTGCCATGGGCATGAACATTACCTGTCAAAACATCTGAGGACATGTCACCCTAATCTAGAGCCCATTCATGGTCTACATAGACATAAATCTTGCCTATATATCATTTTTTCTCTCTCTTGTTCTATGAATTCCTTTCTAATTTCCTAGTTCCTGAATCCCACTTATCACCTCAGAACTTTCACACATGCTATTCTTTTTCTCCTTCCCCATCCCACTTTTCACCTGGTAAATCCTTTGGGTACCATCCCATCATTTCAAGATATGCCCATAGAACACCCTTTTTCATTTTTAAGTTTCTTTCTTTCTTTCTTTCTTTCTTTCTTTCTTTCTTTCTTTCTTGTTGTTAGGAGGGTTTAACCCAGGGGTACTTAACCTCTGAGCCACATCCCCAGTCACCCCCCCCTTTTTTAAATTTTGAGACAGGGTCTCACTAAGTTGCTTAGAGCACTGCTAAGTTGCTGAGGCTGGCTTTGAACTTGTAATCTTCCTGCCTCAGCCTCCTGAGGTGCTGGGATTACAGGTGCATGCCACCATGACTGGTCTCATTTTAAGTTTTTCACAACTTCAATTATATAATTATGTGAATATATTTTTATGTATTCATCTTTATAGATAAGATATATATATATATATATATTATATATATATATATATATATATATATATATATATATATATATATTTCAAGAAGGCAGGATCTGTGTCAGTTTTGTTTGACTACTATATTCCAAGCACCCAGAAAAGCACTTAACACTGAATAATTGTTCAATAAATACTTGTTAATAAAGGAATGAAAAAAAGCCATCTAAAGCCATTTCATTTACTTGCTAAAGCATCATGTTGGTCTCACTTGAGGTGTGGTTATTTAATTTTGTGGGCCAATTAGTTTCACTCTGTTCCCTAAACCACAGTGTATATCAGTATCTCCTGCCGATCATCTCACAAATGTACATAATTCCCCAGGGGAGACAGGTAGAAAGTGCATGGCTCAGTGCAGTCCATCCCTAATAGTAAGAAGCATGCCAAAGTTAATGTCCTGCTCACCATGGTAGTACAGCTTCCCTGCTAAACCCAAAAGGCAACACTTTTCTATTATTGTGCTTTGGTTGGTACACTTGCCTCTGCAATGTGAATAGATTTCCTCTATTTAGCAAAACATTATGTTAATGATTGGACAGAGTAATTAATAGCAAACCAGATTAAATTTTCATGTCTCTGTACAAGCCAAAGAGAAATTATCCCCATTAACCTGATCAGTACAAACTGTCATACTAGATTAGAAGAGCTGCAGCTTCAATTTGTACCTTAACCCCCACTGTTTTGTCCAGATGGCTTGCTGGTACTTCAGCAGATGCTCAGGAAAGAGGGAGAGGAAACTGAAATGGGCAAGTCTGGGAGAAGAAGAGGCAAAATAGGCTTTAGGCCTGATTTAAAGGAAAGTTGCCAGCAGTACCTGCCTTAACATTTCTTTACAAAGCACCCAGGGTGGGAAGTGGGGAAGGCAGAGTTGTCGTCAGGGCAGTGGCACTGACCATATACAGGTGAAAGGCTAAAATTGTGCTTCAGAGCAGTGTGTGTGGAAATAGAACTCCAGAGAGAGGACCTAGAGACAGTCTGACACCTTAGGAAGAGGAGACTGCCAAGAGTTAAACAGGTATCAGGAACTCAGCCAAGTGAATTGTAGTTGAGGGGGCTTCAGAGGTTAATTGAAGTACAAACCAAAAATGGAGGTAAAATATATACAATGTATCCTGGTAGGGTCCCCTGAGATTTCTAAACTTTAACCCAATATGTTTCTTCCTTCTCAAGCTGTACAGGTTTTTCAAGTTCACCTTCCATCTTCCATCTCCATCTGATTATAAAAGAGAATTTATTAGATTGGCTCACAAGATCAGAGGCTGGATAGTTCCCCAGTAGCCATCTGCAGGCTGGAGAACTGGAGAAACCAGTAACTGCTCAAGTCCAAGAAGCTGGAGTCTCAGAACAAGAGGGACCAATGGCATAGTCCCAATCTGGGACTAAAGGCCTAGAAGCTCCCTGGAGAGTTGCTGGTGAGAGTTCACATTAGGAGACTAAAGAAGCTGGAGCCTAGGGTCTACAGGTGATGACAGTAGCTATAAACCCACTCACTGAAGAAGAATGGGACTTACATCTTGTTAGGTTTTCTTTTTTCTTCCACTTTTTATTCCATCCAAGCCACCATTCTATTACAGAGTGCCACCCACATTCAGGGTGGGTCTCATCTCTCTTTTTGTTGTCCTATATGCCAGTAGTCTCTGAAAACAGTCTCCTAGACACCAAAAGCCTCTTAATCTTAAGCATTTTCTAGGCATCTTTCAATCCAATCAAATTGACAACCCAGATTAACCATCACACGTGGCAAAGGCTATAGTAGTGGTCAAGGCAAGAATTAGGTAGAGGAAATCTGGGGGTTCCAGGAACAGATAGAAACATAGAATTAGTGTAAACATTAGAAAGGCCTATAGAGAGATAACTCAGAATTCTATTCTTTGTGGAGAATAGAATATCAATTGAGGAACCAAATAAAAGAGTAGACTCTATAAGAAACTTATAGGAAACTAAATAGGACCCCAATTAATGTCATGGGATGACAGTCAGAATAGGCATGGATTTCAAATATGTCCCTGTGTCAGACTAGTATTGTTCCAAGAGCCTAAGACAGAGCTGAACCCACAGGGATTGTTGAGTAGCGCCACACATGACCAAAATTGCAAAAATGATTTGTCAATTCACTTCTTAGTGAAGAAGCCACTAATACAGTTTCTCCAGTGTTTCATAATATCTTTTCTACTAGCTGGACTGATTGCCTTTGAGAGGTGAATTCTACATGAACCATATCACGTGAACAAATTGGCACAACTCCATGATCTCATCTGTAGTTGGATTCTACACCCATTTTGAGGTCTCTGGCATGCCAAAAATTGCCTCGAACATTCTAGCACTTTTGTTTCTTGAGCATACTAGAAAAAACATTTTCCATTCTTGTTACTATTCTTTTCAAAAACATCATGTTTTGTTGAGC